AGTCTTAGGTTTCTGAGAAGCACTTTAGTATTTCAGCTCTCTCGGAAATGATTTAGTCTTTCGGCTTTCTAGGAAGCGCTTTAGTCTTCGACTTCCTGGGAAGCGCATTAGTCTTCGGCTTCCTGGGAAGCGCATTAGTTTTTAGGCTTTCTGGGAAGCGCTTTATCTTCGGCTTCCTGATGGGAGGCGCTCCTTTTTCGAACCTATTGAGATCTGTTTTGTTCTTAGGAGGCGCTTCATCTTGTTTTTCTATTTGAAGGTGCTCCGTCTTTCAAACTGCTGAGACACACTATGTCTTCCATCCTACTGAGAGACGCTCTGTCTTGTTCTTGGGAGACGCTTCATTTTGTTTTCTACTGGAAGCCACTTCGTCTTCCAACCTCATGGGAGGCGCTCTGTCTTCAAGTATAACCCAGAGGCTCATTAGTCTTTCGGCTTCCTGGGAAGCGCTTTAGTCTTCGACTTCCTGGGAAACGCTTTAGTCTTTTGCAGGACAAGCAAATTGATTGGGGCTTTTGGCGCTACACGCCCCCGATTTAGTGCTTTTCTTCCATTCGAGCTTTCCTTTTTCTTGGTGTTTTTGCCTCCCATTCTTTTATTCTTCTTCTTCTACTTTCTGGCATACTTTAGATTTGTTATCGTCGTGTTTGTCGTAGGAAAAGCAGGCGCAAAACCCAATTTTGCTGCACCATCTTGAGCGCTTCCCATTCTGCTGCCCCTCTTTTTAGATTTCATTGTTTCACTCGCAAGGCGTCCACCGCTGAGCTTTGTCTGTTCGGCGTGGTATACGCTTTCCCTCTCATCTTCTTCCACCAACATTTTTCGTCGCAACTTCTTCTCCTTGCGTTGGGGCTGCCTTGTTTCTTTTATTGAGCAGCTGCCAATCGCAACTTTTAATTTCTCGGCATCATCCTTTATCCTTGCCATTTCCTGGACGCGTTCCGCTTTCCCTTTCTTTTTCTTTTTGTCCTACAGACTTCTTACCAGGCCTTGGTCGCCTTTAATTCTCCAAGCATTTGAGCTATCCTCTTTCGATTCGCATGCATTCTTCTTCGAAGGCGTTTCACTTGCCTCGGTATTCCCGTGACTTCGGGAACTCCGTCTGCCAGCTTTTTCCAATCTGGGGAGAAATTAGTTGGGACAACTATGGGGCAACATGACGAAGGGATTGATGTTGCCTACTGGAACTGTAGCAGAGTAGGAAAGGACCAACTTTTGAGAAAGAGAAGAGGTTAATCTTGACTTGCGGTTGGCTTCTTCTTTTTCCGGAGCTCCGACACCTACAATGTCTACGGTTGCCGAAATCTGAAAATTGCAGTGTTCTTCTTCAACTGTTAACTGTTGCTTTGATGGGTTTCTTCGACCAAGACTTGTTGTTGTCAGTGCTTGCGAGAGATGGCGATAAATGGATTACTTTGGTTCCGGTTTTTCATTGGCGGTTGGTGCGAGCATATTTTGTCGCCGGAGTTGGGCTTGCGATTGAGGAGTAGCGGAAGAGTAGGATGATGAGTTGGTGGATAGCGCCATGATTGCCTCTCCGCCCACCGGAATATTGTCGTTGCTCCCTCTATTTCTTCGTTTTTCCTTTGTAGTCATGTTGTCGATGCTTGTTCTTCTTTTTGGTAATGGGAGAAACGGTTTTGTATGGTGGTCTTGAACTTGAGACAGCCCGCCAGATCCCCCCTCATTTAGAAATCAAGCCGAGAGAATTTCAAAATCATAGCCCCACGGTGGGCGCCAAATTGTTTGACCCTGGAAAGTTCTCAAGGCTAACATAGTAATTATGGGGCTCCGATTTGGACTCCCTCGTCTGATCTCCTCGAAAGTGGAAGAACCTGTGAAGAGGGGGGATCTACGCTCCGACGCCCAAGTTAGTATGATATAGAGAAGGTATATGATGTATAGAGAGATAAGATAGAGAGACCTTTAGGGGAAAGTGAGGAAGGGAAAGAGACCCCCCCCCCCCCCCCCCCCCCCCCCGCGTGGGCTTGGATGGATTGGCCTCCATATATAGAGTTTGGGCTTCATTGAGTGGGCTTGGGCCCAGGACACCTTGTCATGTTAGGCATATTATCCATATCCCAACAGGATCAAAAATCTCAAATTCGTTAATAGATAAACGTTTAAGGAGCCAAATTTCAACCAAAGAGACTAGACCAGGGGTAGGTCGGGGAGGGTATCTTGATATATAGACCCCCTCCATGGTAAGTTGGTTTATGTTGGGTAATTATTATGGGGCGTGGGTCAGGGTAGCATGCCCATACAATATAGTCAAAATCGCACTTTAAACTTAAAAGCTTACGCTTTAACACTTCTGGGTCACCAAATTGCTTATACTTAGAGTCACGTTTTTCACTTATAATTGTAGTAAAAATTTACACATTGAAGGTTAAAAGCTTACGTTTTTACAATTCTAGGTTTCAAAGGAGGATAAATATAGTTAAAATATTCGAGAAACTGAAATGCTCACCATTTGCAACTTTATTATAACTAAAATATGAGCTAGTAAAAGTAAAGTACTAAATAGGTTGAGTAAACTTACATATAGTTTAGACAAAAATGGGTTGAGAATGAGACATGTCAAGTCGACAAGAATACTCATGTGGGCCCATCTCCTTACGAAGTGGGTATTGATCAAACATGCAGGTAAAACGAATCTGGTCGAAATTGGCATCCCTAACTTTGTTGTCGGACAAACTACGGGTGGGCATTCGGTCGGTTTGGTCAAACCAAACTTGAACAAATGGGCCAAAATGGCCGAAATCCAGTTTTTGCCTATGTTATTACGAGATGCAATCTCTTCGTGGACGTCAGGCGAGAAATGGGCCAAAACCTAGCTATAAATCGTGATTCTTTCCGCTGCCTCCCCGATTTTGTCTTCTTCAACACTGTTTGTCTGGCTCCGCCTTCCGACCCCCAAACAACGCTTGAAAATATCCCAAGGCTCACCGCCTCTTGGTTTCAAGGGAGGATGCAAGAACTCGTGACCGTCCTCCGCTGATATGTCGCATGCAATAGTCTCTGTCTCCACCGCTGAGACCATCTGCCACTAGGTCAATATGAGAGAAGAAGCAAAGGGTAAGTATTGAATCAAAGTGGGAGAAACTAGGAAGCTGGAACAACTGGATTTTGGGGGAAGAAATTGATGAGAGATAGAGAAAGGGAGGGTCGCGACGACGAGATATGCAGGATGGAGGATGAAATATCGGTCTATTAATTCAGAGGACTTTGCTACGGTGACATGCATGTCACAGTGACATGCACTTTTCGGTCGACCTCATATAGGATCAGGTCGACCTAATCTGTTGTTTCAGTGTAAAAACAGTTTCATGGTGCCTATCTTGGAGATTCATATCTTACAATTGACTAGATGGAAATTGGAGATTAAAGAAGCTGAAGTGTCCCTCTACACATTAAAGTACTTGGGAGCTCAATAGAAAGTCCAGAAGACCATTTTTGAACCTGACCAAAAGGCTATGCCAAAACTGGGAAACTGCTTGAAAATGGCTAAGTCTGGCAACGTGTTTGTCAATCCTACTTTGGAGCTCAATTTGAGAAGCATGGATGCGAGTCAAGTCCAGGGGCCTCTACCACGTTAAATTACGTATTTTTTTATACAAAGGCAAGACATTGGATGAAAGATTGAATATCTTTAAGGCTTCAAACAAAAGGCTCGAAATTGCTACGAAGGCTATTTTTCTGGCAGCTTGCTTGTGCTCGAAGTCTGCCAGAAAAACAGCCTTCGTAGCAACTTCGACCCTTTTGTTTGAAGCCTTACAGATATCCAATCTTTCATCCAATGCTTTGAATTTGTATAAAAACATACCTAATTTAACTTGGTAGAGGCTCCTGGACTCGACTCGCATTCATGCTTCTCGAATTGAGCTCCAAAATAGGCTTCACAAACACGTTTCCAGACTTAGCCATTTCCAGGCAGTTTCCCAGTTTTGGCATAGCCTTTTGATGAGGTTCAAAAATGATCTTCTGGACTTCCTATCGAGCTCTCAATCACTTCAATATGTAGAGGGACACTCCAACTTCAAAATAAGTCATTAGTCTTCAATTTCCATCTAGCCAATTGTATGATAAGAATATCCAAGTAGGCACCATGAACTGTTTTTACACTGAAACAACAGATTAGGTCGACCTGATCCTATATGAGGTCGACCGAATCCTAAATGAGGTCGACCGGATCCTATATGAGGTCGACCGAATTCTAAATGAGGTCGACCTAATCCTAACTGAGGTCGACCGGAAAGTACAAGTTACCGTGACATGCATGTCACCGTAGGCACACCCTAATTCAGAATATCATACATATACATGGTTCGTTTCACGCTGAATCTTGAAATAACATATAGCTTGTTTGGATATAATTCTGTTAGAAAATGAATTCCATTTCTTGTGAGAATCTGAATTCAAGTGAGAATTCATTTCAAGAGTTTATGTTTGGAAGAAATCCAAAAGTTTGGGAAATGATTTTATCTTTTTATGTTTGAAAAACAAAGGAAATGATTTCTTACAAGTGCTTTTACAATAATATCCTTGGTATTAATGATTTCAAATACAAAAGTAGTAAGGGTTTCTTGTAAAGGTGACAAAATTAATGTGGGGTCCACTAATTCCGTCACTCCCTCCACCAATTCCGATCACCTTTGGTAGGATTTAGAATTTCCAACTTTTTACCTTTCGGAATTCCATTTTCTTTTTATTTTTTACTTCCAAACACGAGAATCATTAAAAGTTTGAGAATTGGAATTCCATTTCCTCAAAATTTAGCCTTTCCAAACAGGCTGATAGTTTCCATTCGAATCTCGGGCCGAACAATGAATTTGGGTCTCGTTTGGGGGCGGTTCGGACCGATCCGGTTGCCCTCCCCTAGGACAAACCACAATTATGGCCTAGCATGGCCGGATGGGCCTTTGCCGCCTAGCGCCGCTAGCGGGGAGGCGAGCACAGTTAAACGACGCCGCCCCCGATTTCCAACACTTGAACGGTCGCGATTATGCCCCACAGATGAACTTTACAGATCACAAGTTCGCACATCTTCCCATTCTCTCTCTCCTCATTTCCCTTCCTTTCAAAATCCAATTGAGCGGAGGAGCGGCCGAGCAAGCCAACCCGACGTCTCGTCGGTTTTTCCAGAAGAAACCCAAAACCGCCGGCGGAGCGACGACGGTGAAAGGAAGCAGACAGACGGTCAGTGAGTCACCGTGTTTTAGCGAGTGATTGAGTAAGAGAAGCAACACAGAGCAGCAATGGCGGAAGAGGAATGCGAGCTGAGCGACGAGCAGAAGAAAGAGATCGCCAAATGGTTCCTCTATAACGCACCTTCCGGCGAAATCCAGTACATTGCCAAAGGTCTCCGTGCCGCTTCGTTTTACATATGCATTCTTGCTTCTTCTTTTTCCGCATTGCGTCGATGTTTCAGTTTTCCGGATCGAGTCTCGTGATTGGTTTGCAATCTTTCCGTGCAGATTTGAGATCGGTGTTGAACGACGACAAACTGTATGATGAAGCGACCTCGGAGGCGTTCCCTCTCTACAACAAATCTCACTTGATTTGCCTCGAACTTCCCTGCCGAAGCGGCGACGTAAGTTCCCCCCTTCCTCCCTCCCCGAACTTCCAGTGTCTTTGGCGTTGAAAGACTTCCAGATTATCTTGAATTATACTGTTTATGATCTTGATTCAATGTAATTGGAAACGGAGATTGTGTTATCTTTTAACTGACGATGTTCGGATTGTCAGGTGTTGATTACGCCTTACAATGAGCTCGAGGAGAATCAGTTTATCGAGCCTCGGACTGCACAGATTGTCACTATTGATCATGTCAAGCAAGTAAGCTTCCTCTCTAAGAATGTATTAATCATCATTTAATGGCTGGCATTTGGAATTTGGTGCACTCGCTTTTGAATACATGAATGAATGCAATATTGGCAATCCAATTCTTAGTTATGAACTTTGTTTAATCTCTTTAGGCACTGCTGTTTTGTTGGTTGCCCATCTTGTATATCATGACGTGCTAAATGGATTCAGGCTTGTACAGAGGTGAGACCGGCAGCTGATGAGGAACTCGCATCACCTTATGTTGAGGAATTCCGGTACAGTTTTGTTCGACTTTGATGAGACTTTTTACTTAATGATGGTTTAGGATGGTAACTTTGATTTGAAAGTTTATATATTATGACAATGAATGCATTATAGCCCTAAATAATTGTAGACTTTTAGGAGTCTTTTTTCGACTAGAATGGAATGTATTCAGTGTGTTTAGTATTGACTTAGATGAGACTTCTCGTAGCGATGGCTTAGAATGGTAACTTTGACTCCAAAGATGAGAAAGATTGATAACAAATGTTAATAATATAATTGCAGAGTGCGTTGGGGTCTTTCAGTATCAGAATTGATTATTTTCTTAGTGGATTGCTTAGAATGAGACTTTACTTTATGATGGCTTATAATGGTAGTTTTGGCCGCGGAAGATTGAATAAGAGTAACAAATGTATAAGAACCCAAACTGATTGCAGAATCTGTTCGTCTTTTCGTCTTAGAACTCAATATTTTCTCAGTGTTAATGGGTGAGTTTTTCTATTTTGGAAATGACAGTTGTGCACTGGACGCGGAAATACTGAAATATGTAGAGGAAGCTTATCCTAAAGGTGTCTGCTCAGTCTACTGTGTTGATGGCAAGGATGCCGAGGGGCCAGGATGTAATTTTGAGTTTGCCGTGGTCATAGCAGCTGCAAGAAATAGCCCTAAGAATTTTTGGTAAGTGGAGCCAGCCAAACTTTTAGCTGTTAAGCTTTTCGTTCTTCCGCTATTTCTTTTATTGTTTTGATTTGATCATACTGCTGATTCTCAACCAGCAGCTTTAAAGTAATTACTTCTCGGTCTTAACAACATTTCTTCCAATATTATATAGCAATGGAAGTTGGAGGTCAGTTTGGAACATAAAGTTCAAAGAAGATGCACTGGAAATCAAAGGAAAATTGCAGGTACCATTTAGCAATAGCAAGTGTTGTGTCTTTCTAGCAAATCTGTGTTTTTTGTGGTAGGGAATTACTCATTTGCAGTGAACCTCAAGGGTTGCTTTTCCCCTGTCATGTTTTATCTTGCAGGTGGATGCCCATTATTTTGAAGAGGGGAATGTTCAGTTAGATGCAGAACAAGAATGCCAAGATGGAACTATCTTTCAGGTTGATAGAAGGATACAGAATTTCCCCCAGTTTCATACTTTGTTGTTTATCATGATTCCAGGGCCTTTCATATTCATAAATCATATGGTGGGAGTCATTACAGTTCCTACTTATGGTCATTCGTAATGTGGTAACTTGGGTTACTGAATGGAATCCTTTCCTGGTTTAGGTAGCATACTAGCACTTATGTGCCTTATTTGATTTCTGGTATAGGATTTTGGCTCTGTGAGGACTTAAGCTTCACCTGGCTAAATGCTTAACCTCTCCCAAAATTTTGCTTCAGGCACCAGACGATTGTGCAATTTCGATAGCCAACATTATTCGTCACCACGAGGCAGAGTACCTGAAATCTCTCGAGGTTCTTAACTTCTATCCTTTTGTTTTGGTTTCTTTTTAATACTTGTAAATGATCAAGATTTCTAGCTGGTTGTGCATGCTAACATCGTGTCTTTCTTACAGACATCATACTCGAATTTGTCAGACAAGACTTTCAAGGTACTCTTTCTCTTATACTACCTACACCATGCCCTTCTGACATTCTACAGATTGCACTCTACTTGATCCATAATCATCCTCATTTCTGTAAAATTTTCATGTTCATTTACGGTTGCAGGATCTAAGGAGGAAGCTTCCTGTCACCAGGACTCTCTTCCCATGGCACAACACCTTACAGTTCAGCCTGACAAGAGATATCCAGAAGGAACTTGGAATTGGGAAGTGAACAACATATCATTATCAACATCATCATCATCATCATCATCATCATCATCAGAACAAGAGACATGTATACGTCGGCCTTTCGGGTACCATGTGGACGAGAAGTAGTTATTTTGATCACCCCCTGCGACTTCAGAGAGAGCTGTGTTTATCTTTGTGCCCCCATTTGTCATTGCATATTGTTTACTGTCTCTGTCACCTCTTCCCCTCAGTTTTGGTGTTGTACCATCGCTTTTTACAGGCTTGTGTATCATGTATAGTTTCATGTCCCTTTTATATGTCCTGAGCAAACCTTATGTTAGTTTCGCCCCCGAACGATATGTGTCACTGTATTGCTCAAGTACATTACTCTGTCATTTTTGTAGTTTGTTTTTGTTTCCATCCCTCTTTGATCGTCGGTTTTGAACAGATCATATTCATGCAATCTGAACTCTAGTAATGTAGTGAATTATGGAATCCACTTTTCGAGTAATGTTTAATCAAGGATTGAAGGAGAAATGACTTTTCATCAAATTGTAGATAAAAGTTGAAACAGAAGCGTTGAAGGAAAGGGAAACGAACCACTTCATGAATAACAACAATAGTCTCCTGAGCTCAATGAAATGAATGTCAGAATCAATTGCATGAATCACTGCTGAACTTTGTAGTCAACAAAAGAAAAAGATTGAGAGCCTTCAACGAAATAACCCAACAGCTGAATAAAATAGGTGCAAAATTTCCATTGCCGGGAATCGAACCCGGGTCTCCTGGGTGAAAGCCAGATATCCTAACCGCTGGACGACAATGGACGAGTTTGTTCATGTAGTACAAACAATTTTATTATACCCATAAAATTGACTTTCAGTCAGCATTAACCAGATCAGAGATCACCATTAGTACAGTACACCTTCAGAGAAACATATATAGTTCTAGTTCTAGGGTTTCCAGTTCCTTGTCTCTGAGCTAATGTTACGGCGGCTGATTAGTTACTCAAGGCCCGCTCATTTTTTCGCTTATAACAGTCGGTAAACTTCTTCTTGTTCCTCTTGGTGGTTGATACAATCTCAGGGTAAAGATCCGTTCTTTCTAGCTCCTTTCCCCCATATCAGAATGTCGATTCTTTCTAGGGCACTGTTATTTTTCTCTCTACATAATCGAGATGATGAATCAATGGCGTCTCATTCACAGTTCCTCCAAATACAAGCTGAACAGCTTTTCTCTTTGATTATCAATGTCATTCCTGTCTGTTCATTACGTTTTAGTTTTTTGAATCTGAATCCTCCCCTCTCTCTGGAATGAGGAGAAATAGCCAAATCAGAGATTTGATGTGCTCCATAAGGTGATAACCGTGCCTCGATTGGTTGCATTTGCCTTATGTTGAAGCGTGTCCTTGGTGATAACATCAGAGAATTGGTTTTCTAGCTGACCAGAGTTTGGGATCAATTTCAGAACCAATTTTTGCTGTTTTCATAGTAGCTACATTTGCTTTTGGCTCACTATACGGACACTTGTTTGTTGACGATGCCATTTTTTTGAAACAAAGCTTGAGCTTTGGACTTTCAGATCTGTAATGGGGGTTTTGCTTTCTCCAGAAGACCAGAACCCCTTTTTTTTGGTGGTTTCACAATCGTCACATCTGGTGTTGGGAATGAATGTTCCTTCTTCTCTTGTGTTTGGCTGATTATATAGGCACCGATGATGTTAGTTAATGGTCAGGGCATTTTGTTGAAACTAATGGCGGTGATTCTTCTTGCCAGCTATGATACTTCTGAGTACAAGGCAATTTGCTTCTTCTTATAGCCATCGCAGTTATCAAATACCACTGCATCTGCACCTTTTTTGTGTTTATGTTCTAGCAGTCTTATAATGCATTCTGCTTTGAGTACTATGATGATGCGACGTTGAACGATGGACTGCTGAAAGAAGAATGATGATGCGATGGTTACTGCTGAGGTTGTGCGGTGGCAATGAAGGTACTCTATTTGTTTTTTTTTTTTTGACGGTAGGTACTCTATTTGTTGCTGCAATGAAGTTACTCCACTTCTGTGCTCTACAAAGCTAAACGTCAAAATAAGTTTGTTACTTATCGTAATAATTAGTAGTAATTATTTGTGGCACCAAGTTTGCAGGGAGTTTCGGTTGAATCCTTGTTGTTTAGCAAGGGCTTTAAGCTCTTAGCTTTAGCAGGTCAATTACTTAGCAGCACTTTTTTTCCAACTTAAGAGTTGCAGCTAATTTTTAACCGTTACTACAAATTCCACTAAACACGGCTTGTCTTTTACTTTCATGGAATGGAACCAGGGTAAGTAGTTACTTTCATGGAAGATGCTGATGAGGTTATAAAGCTTTGACTGCACATCAAGAGGTCACCAGTTCGAACTAGGTTGAGCCGAACTAGGTTGAGCCCTTCATTTTTTAGGGTTAATATATTTGTATGGTCCGAATTTTTCACACTAGTTAATGGTTCTGACTTCTGATTGATGAGGAGAATGGCCATTGGCAGGGCTTGCACCATGGAATGACCATTCCGCTTAATTTCAAAGGTCAATTTTGATTAATGAATGATGTCCCCTTTCACTCTTCAATTCACTTTGTAAAAAAAAAAAAATATGTCAAAGACACATCCAAAATTACAAAGAATCTATCTATGTAATCAAGAAATGAAGTCAAACCCACATATGACAACCATAGAGACTAACTAGCTACAGAATGAGCTATCCTATTTCTATTCCAATTAATGAATAGTACCATTGAACCAACACACTCATGAACAAATCTCCTGAAGAATAGCGTACATCTTGACATCCGAGGTATCTCTAGAGTGGCACTTGTCAACGATTATTTTAGCATCTCCACTGATGAGTGATGACTAGATTGTGCAATTGACGATGTTGAGATTCATGAAGGCAATCACGTAGTGCCAAAGCTTCGAGGATGTAAGCATGTTGTACTCCATCATATACCTCTGATCTGAGCTGAAGCTGCCACACAATAGAACCCGTAGGGTCCATCAAAACAACAACAACAACAACCGTGCCCGAGTTCCCCATTCTCACAGCTGCATCAAAAGTCGTAGCGCATCTAATTTCATTACCTGCTGCGAAGAGAATGCATGCTGAAGATGGAAAAGAGGGAGTCGAGTGGAGAAGAGCATTGTCAGCCTCAGAAACCTGGTGTCGCCACTGAGATGCCAAAATTTGAAGAACTTGCTCATGCTCAAAATGCATTGCGCACCGATTCTTCCACAAGTGTCAGAGGAGGCAAACAACCTGCATAATCAAATGATCTGAATTCGGTCCCTCAACCTTGCTTAAAAGAGGCGAACAAAACTACCGAAAGAACACTTTTTCCAGCTATCGATTACCATACGTCATAACCTCCGAGCCACATAACAAGTGAAGAACAAGTGCTCAATTGTCTCCTCCATCCAACCGCAAACCGAAAAATTTGGAATAAGATCCATTCCTCGAGTCACCCAAGATTCGCGAGTGGGCAGAACTTGGTGGAGACATTGCCAAAAAAAAGCAGAAGATCTGCTAGAAGCACTGGATCACATATCTATATATTAAGAATAATGTATCGATTTCCTATCATTATTTCTTTTTTTTTTTTTATTTGAGTTCGTTATAAGAAAAATAACACATATTCCCATATGGCAAGGTCAAGAAGGAAACTCGCCGTTACCAAAAAAAAAAAACCTTTAGCCTAATTAGCATCTATCACGGTGTTATTAAAGCTATAGATGAAATGACTGTATCGGTATATTTTTCAAAAGTTTATGAAGATGTATTTTATCTATAAATAAATCCAAATGTCGAAAATGGAAAAAAAATCAAATTGAATGAAGTCATAATCGATTCCACTCAATCTAATTAAAATAAGAATCATTAATCATTAAACCCAATATAATACAGAAACCCATATTCACGTATGCAAATAAGAAAAAGGAAAATAAAAGCCTGATCCAGCACCAAGGCCCAAGCCCACAACTAATACAACCCAGCAGCAGTACTTCCGCCGGCGGCAGCGCCGCCCCTGAGTGCAAGCACGAGATGAAGAACGTCGCCGGCTTCAATTCGGTAGTCCTTCCCCGTCTTGTCGTCCGCCATCTGCTTCCCTTTAAAGATCAGCCGCTGCTGGTTTGGCGGGATTCCTTCCACCTCCTCCACTTTCACCTTTACCCCTGCAATTGTGTCGTTCAGGTCCACGTCGACTTCAATCTCCTTCCCCGTCAGCGTCTTCACTTTGATCGCCGTCCCTCCCCTGAGCCGCAGAACCAAGTGGAGCGTCGATTCCTTCTGAATGTTGTAATCGGCGAGCGTCCTGCCGTCTTCCAGCTGCTTCCCGGCGAAAATCAGGCGCTGCTGGTCGGGCGGAATCCCCTCCTTGTCCTGAATCTTGGACTTGACGTTGTCCACGGTGTCGCTGCTCTCCACCTCCAGAGTAAACGTCTTCCCGGTCAGCGTTTTCACGAAGATCTGCATCTTTATCAGTTTGCCAATTCGAACCTGATTTAGGGGATGTTGATTTCTAATTTCTATCTTCTTGCCCTTCTCTTTCGTTAATTGGAGTGTGCCGATTTGCAATTGGGTTTGCTTTAGCCGGGGTTCGGGTCTTTTTTTATAGCCACTGATTTTATTGCCGATTTCTGGTCGGAAAAGGAGAAGCAGAGTTCCCTCCGGCCACTCCGAATTTGTGTCGGAAGGAAAGACGAATATCCACTCTACTCTACTCATATTTCAACTATCTTTTTAAAGTGAATGTATTAATTTGATGGGTAAAACCAATTAATTAGCCGATTTTAACAAACTAATAATCAAAATTTTGAAGAAAAAAAAATGGCAACCATCAAGTCTCTATTAACAGTTAACACCTTCCTGATTCGGCCTCCATTACTCAAGATGACGTGGATGCTTACGTGGATTGTGGAGTGCAATTAACTGTTTAAGACACGTGGCAAAAAAATTGCAACGTATTGAAAAGATTGATCTATTATTTTATATTTTTGCTGTTATTTCACTAAAGTTGAATTATTTGGCTAATAAATTGTATTTACCTTTGTTTAATGCAACACTGAGTTTTTATATAAAAAAGCTAGCAGCAAGCTTAAAGATGGTACTTATGTGGCCAAGATAAGGCTTATGCATACTTGCATAACCAAAATATGAGGTCTTGATTTTAAATGTAGTTAGATCTAAATGGTGAATTTAAATGGTTTTTTATTTTCACATTATTCTTCATTATTTTTTTTATCTTTGTTTTAATTTTGATTTAAATTTTTTTCATAGGTGGAACAAGTTCGATGTGATCCATAAAATGATATCCATTTTCAATATATTTCGAGAAATTTTTCATACCACGTGTTACCAGCCTGGTACCATCTATATCATGTCTGTTTTTCACTCAAATTTTGGAAACTTCTACACCTAATGAACGAATTGATCATGATTTATTGGATCTACAAATTTATGTAGAAAAAAAC